AAGATTACCATGAAAACTTTGTATAACAATGTCCTCTATTGATACTGGTATTAAGTTACATTTACTTTAAAGTTGTTACCTATCAGTTTCCTGTAGATAGGCAGTGACAAATCAAAGTATGAATTAAAGTCTGTAGGACTTGACCAGAAAACCTTTTTTATTTTTAATTAATTAATTAGCTAATTAATTAATTAACTAACTAATTTGTGAGGCAGGGTTTCACTTTGAAGCCCTAGCTAGCCTGGAATTTATATGTAGACCAGCTTGGTCTAGAACTTGTAGATCTATGGGCTTCTGCCTCCTGAATGTTGAGATCAAAGGTATGTGCCTCCAGGCCCATCCCTGACCTGTAAAATCTTCAAGTTTTCTCTGGCAAACCTAGAAATGTTACAGAGCTGATTTTTAAGAACTTGAGGATTTTAACACAATATTTTTATACTTTGGGCCCTCACTTTGCCTGTGTTCTGGAAGCTTCTTCTCTTTTCAGTCTTTTTGTTTACACACACACACACACACACACACACACACACACACACACACACACACACTGCCCCTTGTATTGGGGTTATGTGTTAAAATATGAAGAAGGGGAAGAGATGCAAGAAAGTGTGTGTGTGTGTGTGTGTGTGTGTGTGTGTGTGTGTGTGTGTGTGTATTTGGGGGTCGGTAGGATTCTTCAATGTCTGTAGAGACTGGAGCACATGATAAAACTCAGTTCCTGTTACTGTAAGGCCATGGTGGTGATGTACTGGTTTTGGTTCTATCAGCCTCATTATCCACATGAGCGAGCAGCTTCCACAGTGAAGGGGAGGAAATATACTGGGAACTTTCCCTTTCCATTAACCACAGAAGGTAAACAGCCTGGTGGGTAGGGTGGGTGAGGGATTGGGGAGCTACTGACTTCAGTTTTTCTGGCACTGGGCTCTAGCAAAGAAATCATATCTTCAAATCTCAGTATAAACAGGCTGGCTGTAAACAATTAAGGTAAAGATTCCTCTATCTGTATAAATTCCAGGCTTCTTGGGAAGTCTTCAAAGGGTAAGTGAATTCTTAGGGAAAACAAGGACCCAAGCCTGGTTATTTCAAAACCACACACACACACACACACACACACACACACACACACACACACACACCAAAACAAACCTTAATGACTTTCTTACCAATTAAAATTGACTTTTTATTTTTTGCCCCTGTCCAAAGATTTCTAAGTTCCCCTTCAGAAATCTAAGTATGTCTTCAGAATAGCTCGATCCTGCAGTTTTCACGATGGCAAAATTTATTTTAACACTCCTCATTTCTCCTCTGGCCTACGTGCCTTCTCTCAGGTCTCCATCTACCATGAATGAATCTCTTGTATAACTCTCCCAACACAATCTTCCTCAACACACTGTCTCTCCCGGAAAGTCTGGAGCTCTGTGCTTACATCAGCAGTGTCTGCTTAGGACTCCATTTGAAAGCCAATTTTTGATGGCATTACAGAGGAAGAGCTGGTACTTAATGCTGGCTTACTTGTGTTTCTGGTGGGGCCCTGGATGCTAACCACTAGATATAGCTCCTGGGCTCGGAGTTAATGAAGTTTATATGTTATGAGTTGGCTTCCAAAAGAAACAATATTCTGTCTATTAAGATTATTCAAACTAAATCAAGTAACTTAATAAGGCTCTTCTGTCCCTGAGGATTTTTTCTGATTATTTAAAAAATTTCTTGAAATAAAATTGCAAATAGTTCAATATGGTATCCAAAGTAAATGCCAATTTAAAAGTAGTAACTTGCCTCTTATTCCAAGAAGACATTTAAAAACTTTAACAAGTTTCTCAAATCAAACCTCAATTTGAAAATAAATCATATGTAGGCTTTCTCTAACATTAAGATGTTCAGAATATATAGATACCAAGAGGTAAAACTCTACATAAAATTATTAGAGATAAACATCATGTTGTATTTGAACATCAGTTGTATATTAATTAATTAAACTATATGATAATTTAGATGAATCAAGGTTAAACGGTAAATTTGATCTATATTATTTATTTTTAAAAGTTTGACATTTCCATAAAGCTCTTTAACTTCAGTTTTTTATCTTTAGATCACTTGTGTTTGTTTTTAATCTAGCTATTTCAGAGTAACGAGAGCTGGGTGGATCTGCACAGGTGCTTGGCACAGTAAGGACTTGTGAAATTTATCTGGCCCATCTTCGACTGGCATATTATTATGGTTGGGTTTAGTGCCTGCTGGCAAGCTGTCAGGAGTTTTCACTACCCATGATGCTGATGAAATAGACTGCTGACCCACAACCTCAACCATCTCAGGAATGAAAGAGGAAAGACTGTGGGATCCCCAAAACCTTACAGAATAATGCACTGATCACACACCCCAACTCCACGTATGCTACAAACATTTTAAAATAGTTTTCCTGTATATAAAATAATATATGTCCTTTATGGTAAACGTCAAACATAGTAAAATTATAAAATGAAATATACTCTCTCTCTCTTTTTTTTTTTTTTTTTTTGGTTTTTCGAGACAGGGTTTCTCTGTGTAATTTTGGTCTCTGCCTTGGATTTCGCTCCATAGACCAGGCTGGCCTCGAACTAACAGAGATTCTCCTGGCTCTGCCTCTCAAGTGCTGGGATTAAAGGCATGTGCCACCACCGCCTAGCAAAATATACTTTTAACAGTCTTGGAGCATATTTTTCTAAGTTAAAAAAGTTCTCTACCCATTATTATTCAGTTTCTGGCTTATTTTTAATGTTATTAATTATTATTCTGTTATTACAGCTAAGTAATACGTGATTCCAACAGGTCCAGACCTGTTTTAAATATGTAATTTTTTTTTTCCCTGAAACAGGGTTTCTCTCTGTAGCTTTGACTGTCCTGGAATTCTCTTTGTAGAACAGGCTGGCCTGTCTCAAATATGTAATCATTTCATGGCTCCTTGTTAACCTTCTGTGAAACCAATGTAACTTGATGATCTAACTATAATACTTAAGGTACATTGCAGAATGGTGTATTGTGGGTAATTTAACCCTCTGGCTGAGTCTTAACAGATTTTTAAGAGATTTCTATTTTTCAAAAAAATGTAAAGAAAATACATCTCACTAATCCACAATGAAAGCAATTTGGAAGGCATTTTGAAACCTCTTCCTAGACAGAGTTATCAGCAGTAACTATGGCAACAGATATACTGAAAATAACTATAAGGGTTCAGGTCTGAATCTGAACTGAATTAGGATGATATACTTTGTGCGTGTGTTCATATGTACACATGTGCACATGTGTGAAGGCCAGAGGTCACCTTGTGTGTTGTTCTTCAGGAGCTCTCCACCTTGTTAAGACCAGATCTCTCAGTGACCTGGAACTTGATTGGGCTAAGAGCTAAGCTGCCTAGGGAGCCCAGGGGCCCCACTCATTTCTGCTGCTGCAATGCCAGGATTACACGTGCGTGCTCCAAACCTGGCTTTTCGGGATTGACTCGGGTCCCCATGAGCTCTGGCACTTTACCAGCCTTGATATATGCACTCTTTAAATTACTTTACTGAACTAAGTTCTTCTCAACGTGTTAATTATACACATTTTATATTCTTCTCTGTAATCTATGTCAAGCCTGTCATCCACTACACATGCTAGATGAGCTAATGATGGGAAGAGTTAAACAGTGCTCCATAGATCAGAATGGAAGACAGTGTTTTCAAAGCTGCTTCAACGGCTTCCCCAGCAAGCAAGCTCTTCTTACAATGTGGCTTTGGCATTCCTCCCATGGGGGCAGCTTTACGTGACTGTTTGCATTAAAAGAGAACTGGCAATATGTGACTTCCGAGGCTAGGTTATCTGGAGGAAAAGCACTGTCTAGCCTGGACTCTGGAATACTTGCCCTGCACGCACACAGGCTAGGTTCCATGCCAATTGTTTGTGAATGCTTGATGCCCTCAAATCAGCCTATAATGAGGAGTCACATATGAAGAGACTCCGAGACTCCCTGAAGATAGATACAGAGGGAAACAGGGCATATTTGTGTGTCACTGGAAAGGCCCCAACTGCCAGGCAGATAAGCTTTATTCCAAGGCTACTTCCTTCTCCTTCTCTTCTCTCTTCTTTCCTCTCTCTCTCTCTTGAGAAAAGCTCTCACACACTTTGTTCCCTAGGCTGGCTTGATGAATTCCTGCCTCAAGTAATACTGCCTTCTGAGTAGCTGGGACTCCATGGATGTGTCAACTGCTCTTATTGTGGCTACGTGAGAAACCGTGGGCCAGTACTAAGAAACCAGACTATCCTCCAATCAGGCATGCACAGAAGCCACAGGAGTGCATGCAGTGATTGTTGTTGTTTAGCTCTTGAGGTAATCCGTAACAGAGCAATAAAGTATGTCCCGTACACTGTTGGGACACTCTGTGTGCTTTTCCACATTGGAGAGGAACGTACTTTCTCAGTCCTGCAGACTGAACCGCTCTCCTACTGTTCAACCTAGAGGAGGCAAACTTTAGCATACACTTCATAGCTGACCTTAGACCTAGAGAGATATATTACGTATCTGGGAAGCTATGTGTTATCTGCTAAAACCAAACCCAAACAAAACAAAACAAAATCCTTCCATGGATCTGTTTTCAAACATCTCTTCTCCTAATTAAAAAAAAAAAAAAAAAAGGATGCAAACAAAAACAATTTTAAAAACCACTTAGTTTATTATAAAAGAGAATTCAATACAAACGGAAGAATTGAGCACAATACTATCAATCACACAAGGTTAATACTTAACCTTATAAAGTCAGTTAATCCTGCTTTATAACATGAAGGCCTCTAACTCCTAAAATTGTAAGTAAAATTTGTATTCCTAAAACAAGTTTAGAAGCCATACATGGTGGTAAACACCTGTAATCCTAATATTTGGGAGGCTATTTAGGGAGATTGTCTCAAAAAAAAAAAAAAAGCAAAACATACATAAATTAATTTTCTTTTTGTAGTGGAAGATGATAATGTTTTCATTTTAAAAGGTAAATTACAGACTTATTTGGCAAGGGAAATACCGTGGTCATGTAGGCAGTTTTCCTAGGGCAAGGCTCAGCATTCCATCCCAGATCTGCTAACTCCTGAGGTTCCCCCAAATGTGGGAAACTCAACTCCATATTTGTGGCAGTTGGGGAACATGTTTGCGATATACATGTAAAGTGAGGCATTATGGGTATTCTCTTGTAGTTACTCCTGAGAAAATGCTTCCACCATTTAGAGATATTTTCAAGTACTTAAATAGAAAACATCCTGTGTTAGAGAAAAATAATTAAAAGCATATTTTAAAATGAGACTTCATGTTGCGAATTGCTGAAATGCAGTCTACTTTTTTCATAGTTTAGATGTTGTGATTTTCTAACATCTTTTCTTGTCTATTCACTGTCCCCTCAAACTCATGTCTGTGTGCTGATAACCCAGCCTGAAGTTCAGTATATGGTGAGTGTTCAGCAAACATTCTGAATGTACTTTGAATATATTAAGGGATAAATGAACGTACTGGAGGTCAGACTAAGGACCTCAGTTATGCTAAACAAGCGCTTTACCGAGGAGCCACACCGCCAGCCTCTGCCTTTAGCATTCTTTTTGTGATTTATTTTATGCACTAAGTGTTTGCCTGCATAGATGTATGTGTGTACTGCATGCAGGGTGAGAGGAGCTGGAGTTACAGAAGCTGTAAGCCACACCACTTGGGCCTTAAGAACTGAACTTGGGTCCTCTGAACTGCTAAGCTATCTCTTCAGCGCCTATTTTTAACATTCTTAACATTATCAATTATGTACAGAGTGGCATTGCAAACCTCAGCTTCTTACAAGGTAAGTGAAGGCAAAGGAGTTTTTGCTGTTTGTTTTTCTTAATCTATGCACTTTTTTTGTTACTTTTTTGGCAATAAAATCTAGTTTTACAAACAAAAAGAGTGAGAAGTTTGCTGTTCTTGTCAACATGTGGGAAATAGGTTCTGAGTCTTTTTTGGAAGTGCATGTGGATGTACAAAATAGTTCCTTGGGCTGCTAACCACTAAAGATGACTGGAACTGGAACTGTCATAGGGAAAGTAAACATACAAGTAAAATATATGAAATTTACCTATCCTGGAGGTTTTTGGTTTTTTTTAACCCTTTGTAGTGTTTGCTTAGAGGAAGAGGTCATATGCTCTGTGTGGGTTATTCTGTATCAGTGTTCCTGGCTAAAGACCTTAAGTCCCAGAAACAGGAATGGACAAGTAACATCTCTGAATTTATGTCATAACAGCTTCATTATACTGGCTGTTTTATTTTGTTTCCCCTTAAGCATCTCCGAGGTCTGCTGTTAAACTGTTTTTGGCTCACACAAAGCGCCCCAATTGTGAAGCGCCTCCTCTAATTTAGGAGAGTGAGCTTCGTAAAGTACACCTTCTTCTCAGATGTTATGAGATTAATTATTTATGGGTTATAAAATTCACAATGAAAGGTGTGCTTAAAGGCAAGGCATGTTTTTGAAGAACTCTGCGATGCTAATATAATGCTCTCTATAAAATAACTGATTCTATCCAGTGTTAAAACTAGGCCAAGGCAACTTTTGTATTCAAGCATAGCCCAGAAGCTATCGCTGTCCTTACTGATAGGTCAAGTAAAATAAATAGAAACGAAGACAACAGTCTGTTTATTGGTATAATGGCACAACCCACACACCGTCCTGCAGTGTCAAGGTGAAGACCTACTGTCTACTTAACTGGAAAGGGACCGCGGAAAGCTTTGGTGTCTAAAGGCTGCTTTGTTGTTGTTTTGGTTTTTTGTTTTTTGTTTTTTAAATCAGATATTCCTTTATGGCAGGGTGGGATCGGACCACTTCTCCAGTCCTTGAATCTTGAAGTATACATATCAATAAGACAACCACAGGCTTTCAATCCTGGCAAGACCTTATATTCTGGCCCTCTCTCATCCAAGCAGAAACCATAAGTCTTGCAAAATCGACATCTTGGTTTCCAGAACACTCAGGAAAATTGTCCTTAAGCTCAGGAGGACTGTGCCCTGGACCCGTGCACTCTTAACACCTTTCCTCTGATCACACTCAGATTTAAAAAAAAACAAAAACAAAAACCAAAAACCTCCCCTTAGATACTGGGCGAGGAGTCGCTCTCTCGCCCAGTGAGTGCCATCGAGGCCTGGGCTCTTTCTGGGTGCAAGTTCATCCCCTGCTGCAGCAGCAGGCCCCGGGGGCATGGCTGGCATCCAGGACGGTGGGGTTAGGGGAGGACAGTGGACCGCGCGGGGGAAGCCAGGCCCGCCCCTGCTCACCCGTCGGGGCCCCGGGTGGCCCGCTCGCCCGCTCGCCCGCCTGCCA